TCTTATAATATATTGCTAACATTATGATAGATGTAGAGCGTCTATTTCCTGCAGCTTGCTCATAAAAATATTGAGCTGCAAAAATTTCTATTGAATTCTGAGTTCATGCACACTTTCCAGTTAGTGTAGCTAAAATCAGAAGGCAAGATGCTGCAGAGTTTCTGGATATTACTACCCGAATGTTCGATTTGTTGTTCATGACAAATGTGATATTAATTATTTTTGATGGTCAATTATATCAGGCAGAACTTTTTAAAGTCTCATATCAACCAATTTGAAAGCCACAGACACCAAACTCATAAGAACTGAATTTTAAGATTTTCAAGCAGGGGATTGATTCGATCAAATTTTCTCTACAGTGAATACAAAATGTGATGTAGTTGAGAGTGAAGGTCCTTAGATCTTTCTTCCATATAGGCATCATCACTTATTTAAAGCAGCATTTCTTAAAGTCTCCTATTAATCAATTTAGCTCACTAATATTAAGATCTATTTTCGGCTGTATCAAATTTCGCCGATTTGACCTTTATATTTTTGTGGCCCGAAATCTGACTCCAATTGTATTGTATGTTGCATGTCATAGAAAAATTTATCGCCAAAAATGATATGGAAAAAATGGAACAAACTCAGTTAAAGCAGGAATAATAAAAATAGTCCAGTGAATTTCTAATGTCATAACGTGGAGTGTTTATAAAATTATAATTTGTTCGGTGAGTGATATGATTGCGAAAGTGTCAACACGAATAGAAATAATAATTCCACGTTAGGTGATGATATGACATTATTGTGATAATGAGCATTCGATAATTATTTAAACCATAATGGAACAATCCGCTGGATGGATCAATGGGCAGAGTTGACATGAGGACAAATTATCGATAGGATAATACGATTTGAGCACATCCATGTCGTGCCACACAGGCTTTGTTGAGTGCGTCTGATTGAAGATTAAGCTGGCTTCGCTGAGTTTGTTCGTCGAAAGTATAGAGTGCAGAAGTTTCTTCATCGACGTGGATTTGTCATCGGTGAGCTCACCACTTTTGTGAAGCCCTTTATTTTTACATCAATTAGATCGGACGATGTTATCGACGGGTTCGCCACTTACTTTACTTACTTACGCCTGCTACTCCCAATGGAGCATAGGCCGCCGACTAGCATTCCCCAACTCACACTGTCCTGGGCCTTCCTTTCTATTTCTATCAAACTGTTGTTCATTTATACCATGTCTGACTCAATTTCTCGGCGTAATTTGTTCCTTGGTCTTCCTCTTCTCTTTTGGCCTTGAACATTCCATGTGGAGGCTTGCCTTGTGACGCAGTTGAGTGCTTTCCTCAGTGTGTGTCCTATCCACTTCCAGCCCTCCTTCCTGATTTCTTCTTCCACTGGGATCTGGTTTGTTCTCTCTCACAGCAGGTTGTTGCAGATAGTGTCTAGCCAACGGATCCGAAGTATTTTGTGTAGACAGCTGTTGTAGTGTGCACTACTTGTATTGACATAAGTAGTATATGATGTTGGTCGTGAACAGAAGGTCTGGCGGTAGAGAAACGAGAGGATCGAACAGTAAAGAATGGAAACAGGGTGCAATTTGTATGAAAATGCAAGAACAATACAGTCTGAGTCATTTTGAGACAATTGATGGACATTTTACAAATTAAGCATTTACTTTATGATTGTTGGAACTTATTAACAAGTCCTGTAATCTTGTGTTAAATACATTCGATTGTCCCCACTGGCGTCCTTGTTCACTACACTAATAATAAACACCTGTATCTTCTGGATGATGGCTTTTGTAGTTCTCCAGGTTTACGCCCCATACAATAGAACTCTCTTGACATATTTATTGAAAATCCTGACCTTGGCGTTGGTTGCCAATTGTTTTGAGTTCCAGATGTTTTTCACTTGTAAATATGCTGCTTTTGTTTCACCGATCCGCGCCCTCACATCTGCATCAGATCATGAAGTGATTTAGTTCAGTGATAAATAAACTTTAACGCTTAGTGATCAGTTACACAAAACCTACTTCCGTTTGGGCTCCTAAGTAGTATTCCAGCGCTCACACAAATCATTTGATTTGTGTGGCGCATATATATTTGGTGCCTCCTTGTACCAGTGTTTATCTGTTTAAATAAATAAATAAATAAATAAAATGCACCAAACAGGTATTTGTGCACTCGCTTTACTGACCATATCAGAGCCTAAGCCTCCTTTAGCGTTTGAGAATACCCTTGTTCCATCTGGCTTAAATATAAGTGACAGCCTTCTCATTCTGCTCTAGAACCGCACTTAATCCCAATGGGGATCAATATGTAGTGAGGATAGGTCTGTCATTTGGCAAAAGCGGTTGAAAAAAATCTCACTATTTGAGAATTGTAAGATGTTTCTCAGCATAACCTCTTGTTTTTATTCTCAAATAAACCCTTGACTAGAAACCAAGTCGAAAGGTGGAGATAATGTTTGTGTGAAGTTATGAATAAGTCTGGAATAAAACTGAAGAGCACCAATCGATGATCTGAGGGCCGAGATATTCTTAGGTGACTGTACTTGAATTGATGGAGCTAGGTGATTCATATCAGGTTCAAAACACTTAGCATCTACATTACAGCTTAAGTACTTGGTTGGATTAAGTTAAGACTGAAATTTGAATAGGTTTACGAGAATTTTCGTATCACAAATGCATCTAAATGACTTTAAAAGACGTTCGTTATGCAACCCAACATTTTGAGCGCAAGCTACAATATCATATGGATGCTTTACAACACCATTTATAACCTTATGGAATATTGAGGGCGAAACATTCAATCTAGACCGTAGGAATTTGTATCAAAACGGTGTATTAATGGTAGTTAGTTCACTAGAGATTCCATTCGATTAAATTCGCGAATACGCATCTTTCAGGTCAATCTTAGAAAAACACCTTGACCCCCGTAACTTATGTAAAATATTTTCAATTTCTTCGGTTGTACAACTCTGTTGCAATAAACGAATAATCATTGTCAGGTGGTAATCACCATAAATTTAGGGTGAGTTCTGTATATCCTGTTATCCTTTTTCCGACCAGTTTACTTAGCTCATTCTTCACTAACTTTTCTTAAACTATATGGAATTAATCTGCGCTTCAAGAAGATGGGTTTTCCCTTCACCTCTAACTGTACTAGGTGAATTTTCTTACCTTTCACGGCCTTTGAGGATTTTAAGACTTAGTCTTTGACTAAGTACTGTCAGAAGAATTGGGACGTAAAGAAACGTGTACGCTCAGCGATCTTAAACCTCTTAACATAGACACAGATGAACCATACTAACTAGCAAAGGAATATTGGCACAACTACCCTCTTCGTTCCTCAATGGAATATTAACTGTACCAATAATGGGTAACGATTTCCAGTGGTTTCAATGATCCCACTGCTTGTAGGTCACAAACGGACATCATCACGAGGAAACAATGAATTTCTTTTAGAAATAATTGACTCTATGCTATCAGTATCAACAAAAAATGAATTAGACTAGTCTGTGTTTGCAATGATTTTTGGCGTGAAGTGTAACTTACTGATGCAGGCAGCATTGAGCGATATTAAATCCATTCTTCTGATCAAATCAGTTAGTTCTTATTCATAGTCATTCAGAGATTTAGTAGTGGATGACATGAAACTTTTACAAACCCCTAATAGATGTCCAAACGTCCAACATTTATGGAAACGTGCACAATGAGATTAACATAGATTACAATACGAGAGACAGAATGTAATGGCCAAAGATGAATAAAACGTGCTTTTCGAATTACTTGTCGGAATGATCGAAACAGTTTTTGTTAGAAGGTCTGGGGTTCCTGTAGATTAATACGTTTATTTACATTCGATAATAAGACATCGTGTTGTTTTGCCGTAGCATCATGAGAATCTTTATCGACATTTTCATGAATAAAACCATAGTCTCAAGCTATCTCGGCGGTGTTTTTCTAGTTTAGGACCATCTATATCAGGAATCGGACGGTTACAAAGTTGGATATGCAGCTATCCACCAAAATCGCACTTAGCAGCTTATGTATGGAGCTGTAGTAGGAAGTCTCTGACAGTCTTATTTAGAACACGACGTAATTTATTGAACCATCTACTTTTATATGTTTTAAACGATGTTACGGGAAAGTGACAGGTTAGTAATCTTTTCAGTTTGCTGAAACATGGGCAAGACACAATCAAGAACTCAAAGTTGAAGTAAAACGTCTGAAATTGTATTGATTCGTTATAACAGATATGAACAAAACATGAAATATTTGACATTACAGTAAAGGTACTAGCTATTCACCGAAAAACTACCCATATTATTTCTATGTATTATGTACATATTAGGCTGATGGATAAAAATTGTGACTACTTTTATTTGACGGGATCGGACTTTATTCGTAAATTCTGCTAGAAAAATAACAATGTCTAACTGACTTTCTGATGGTTTAAAGAATAATCCATATCCTAGTGTGACTTTCAATTCTAGGACTCGCTTTAAAAATCTTGAGAATTATTATCGAATAAAAGAGAGATGGGAGTTTCCTTGATCGTCGAGTGCAGGATCAATAGGAGATCTCGAAACAGTTCAGTCAAGAAACGGTAAATCAAAACAACATTAACTACTTCTGGGAAAACTAGAGGGCAACTGGTTCAATATTCTTATCAGCGCAGATTAAACTAATGCCAATATTAGAGGGATTAAAACTTTACTATATTCGTTAACACACGTTTTCATACCTTCAAATATCGTATTACCTTATCCAAAAACATTCTTGATATAAGGTGTTGTTATTGGTTTCACCTTGGAGAACCGGGAAATCTGAGAAGCCTCAGACGAAGACAGGTGGAAAACACATTTTAATAATGTTTAATGTTATCTGTCAAGTGTTAGTAATTGGGGAATGCAAAGCCCGTACCTGATACTAACTCCTTTGACTTATGCATTTTGTAATATTTAGTCTCAAAATAAACCAGGCAGAAACAATCAGTGGTTTCCAATGTCCATAATAAGGTTGCTTCCACGAAATGTCACTACTTATCTACTAAAACAGTTGCTACGATAGTTAAGCTGTTGTTTCTATTCGTACTAAAAGGTGAAGGACGTTCCAATATTTTTTTGGATAATGAAGTAAATTTTCAGCCAAACAGTGACGGATGTACTGTTTCATGACTTACGAAGCATTACTGCTTCATATTAAACTAATGTTAACAAAAAGCTCCTAAATTCCGGTTTGGCTAAGTATGCGTGAAAATTTTCAGGACATTTCTGATTAGATAATATGATTTATTCAACACAATAACAGTGAGAGTAACTAGACTGTTTTTAATTAAGATGTTATTGGAGACTTAGAACGGGTTGACTTCTCTTCCATTGACAAACATTTGTCACGCTCACTAGTACTGTTTCTCTGATTTTTAGAATGACCAGAAGAACTTTTTCGTGAATTTCTTCGAGTTTTATACTTTTTGGTGAGTAAATCTGATGTATTCTTTAACATATGGTTGCCTGTTGAAAAGCTAAGAGAACGTAACGTAATTTTCATTTATTTACGGTCCAGTTTTGCACTTTTTTCTAATAGTCTTCAATCCTTGAATTATTCCCCTTCTTACATTCTCAATAATTTCCACATCTTTTGAATTATAATGTAGGAAGTATAAATCTTGACTCACATATATCGAGGTTCTTGGAATATCACTATAAAACTGCGAACTGAACCTATTTATCTTGCCCGATTTCAACGTGACACCTGTTTCTTTTGATTTCTTGATGAAATGAGGACCGTAACTGTGATAGTTTATGTGATTCATGATAACTAATGAGTTTTTTAAATGCTTAACGAAATTGAGACTTTAGGTGTCCAATGTCCCATGTAACGCATGTCTAATGTTCAAAATAATTGAATTTAAGTCCGCAAATTTTTTAACAATAATGATATTATCAATGATCTTATGAGGTAAAATGCCACTCAATCAATTAGTTTTAGCTATGAAAATTGCTAAAGTATATGATTCTGTAAGTCTTCAGAACTGATACTGACCTCCTTAGTTTGTTGAAGGTTATAGCAGTAAATAAATCCCTAAAACAAATAACTCTGTAAGTTTTTTCGACGTTGGATGCTGACTACATTAGTTTTAATGGACTCATCTAGCTGGAGGCGCTCGGCAATGCATCTGCACCGGGTCACTATTGGTAACGCAATGCTCTACAACCCTTGCAATCGCTAGCCAGATTAGATCAGACGATCCTCGATATATTGATGGCCTAGCAAGTATATATTCGAACCTCCTTGCTCCCGTCTTTTAATTTCACTTGGCGGGTACGATTCATATTAGGTGTTACTGGTTAAAGCAATATCAAACTCTGAATACCTGTGACATCTTCATTGGTGAGCCCGACGTGATCTGATACGCCAAATTGCAAACTGTGAGTCTACTCCTTTCTTGGATTTTATATATCATTGCCTTATTTTAATTTTTGTACATTGCTATTTCTTCCGTATTCTTAGATAGATAGATATTTTTCACTCGTTCATTCTCGTACTTGATATTTCACTATGACTGAACAGACACCCAAGGTACTTAAGCTAAAGACTATGTCCACACCTTCGTTCCAACTGATGGCCAGACAACATCGAAGTCTGGTTCTGCTACGCAGAAGCCGACTTCTATGAGCACGGAGTGAACGACGCACATGCACAATTCTTCGCAGTAGTCAAGGCACTACCGCGCAAATTCAACGGGTACGTAACACCTAATGTGTTTACTAGTGATGTTTCTAAACTCTGCGAAACACTGAAACGATTTATCCTTAAACGCGGAGACCTAACTGATAGACAAATGTTAGACCAACTCCTCAATAACATAGGCCTGCAACAGGGTTCTGCGACAGACATGTTGCAAAAAATGGAAGAGGTTATCGGCCAAAGAACCTTTGATGATGGTCTATTCAAACAACGTTTCTTATCCAAACTTCCTCAACAGGTGCAAGCTGTGCTGGTCTCGTTTCAAAAGAAAGCCTTAGACGAGCTGGCTGCATCTGCCAACTGCATCTTAGAAATCACTAAATCTTCTAGTTCCGAGGTTTCTCCAGTCAAAGAAAAGCCTCAAACGACCCAGAGTGACATTACAGAGTTATGTCATACACTTACACGTTATCTTAAATTTCGTAACAACCGTAAACGATCACACACCCCACAAAGAAGCACTTCACGTAAGCGATCTGTCTCTAGACCACGAGAGACGGATAACTTCGACTGGTGCTGGTATCAAAACCAGTATGGAAAGTTTTCCGGAAATTGCAGAAAACCCTGCAATTTTCCCATCTCAAAACCGACTGACTCGAAAAACAACTCGAGAAACTTCCAAGCCGCCACGCGTTAACGGCAACCGTAGCCGGCGAACATAGCCATCTGTTGTACGTCACAAATGTGATAACGAGAGTTCACTACCTCGACAACACTGATGCAGGAGTTAGCGTTCTCCCAGAGAATTCTAACGACCAGCTTCACGAACCGATTTTAAACCTACAAGCGGCAAACGGATAGCCTATCGCCACACACGGTAAAAAGTACGTTTACCTTAACGTGGGTTCACGCAAAGCCATACGCTGGATCTTTGTTGTTGCATATGTTTCCATGCCAATCATTGGTATGGACCTCCTACAGCATCACAATTTAATTCTCGATACGCACAAACGGAGGCTAGTAGACGGAAACACTAATTTATTTGTTTGCATATCCTCTTTTTTTCGGTTTCAGATTATTTCCAGTCATAATTGAACACACAATAGACCCATTCTACCAACCACTACTCGATAGGTATTCTGGGATGTACCAGTCGCAACCGAAATTGCCGTGTGTAACCAGCAACGTTACACATCACATCACGACTACAGGACCACCTGTATTCTCTACAGCACGACGACTAGCTCCCGAAAAGCTAAGGTTGGCGAAAAACGAGTTCGACCACATGGTAGACTTGGGTATCATAAGACCGTCAAACAGCCCATGGGTATCTGTTGCACATGGTCCCTAAAAAGGACAGCAACGATTGGCGTCCAACTGGTGACTATCGGCGATTGAACGCGAAAACCATTCCCGATCGTTACCCGTTGCCTCACATTCACGATTTGACAGCTACCTTAAAAGGTACAACTGTCTTTTCGAAAATCGACCTGGTTAAAGCGTATAACCAAATCCCTACGGCTACTGACGATATTCCGAAAACCCCTATCATAACTCTCTTCGGACTCTATGGATTTTTGCGAATGCCTTTCGGTCTTAGATACGCAGCACAAAATTTCCAAAGGTTCATAGACGACGTTTTTCGAGGTCTAAACTTCGTACATGCGTACGTTGACGACTGACTAATAACAAGTCAGGACAGAGAATCACATCTCAAGCATCTGGATCTTGTTTTCGATCGACTACAAAAACATGGCATTAGTGTAAACATTTAGAAATACCAAATCGGAACTGACTCATTAGACTTCCTAGGACACACTATAGATGCGCAAGGCATTCGACCTCTTAGAACTAAAGTGGCGGCCATTCTGGATTACCCACAACTGACCACGACCAAACAATTACGAACGCTTAACGGCATCGTAAGTTTCTATGGACGATTCATGCCTAAATGCGCGTTACTTATGAAACCTCTTACCGACCAACGTGGAAACGCGAAATCCATCCATTTGGACGACACCTCACAAAAAGCCTTATCCACAATTAAGGAACTTATCGCTAAAGCAACAATGCTTGCTCATCAGGACACCGAAGTACCGATTGTAAGATCCGTTTTGAATGTTTTGTGTGTTTGTGAAAATCCCTCCATGTATATACTTGCACTTTGTTCCTATTGACCCCCTTAGTTGTACACTGTCAGTTTTTTATTACATTTGAATTGTTAATATTTGTATTTTATCATAGTTTTTATTTTATTACACCTTCACTAAGTTTTTGTGCTTCTTCCCGAACTGTATCTACGTTGTTTTAGTTGACACTTGTTCTTGGCGGTAGCCATATTGATTTGCTCCTCCCTTTGTGTGTGGTCTATCCAGTCAGGATAGAATAACGTTCATTTGTTGTGACTGGTAACTTCCCTCATCGTTTATCGACTTCTTTATTTATTGTAATTTAGATTTGATTGATTGAACAATCATTGGTTGAATAGCCGGGTGGTAATATTTGTTTATGTAACGATGTACATTTAAATTTATGATGAATTATAGAACCGCTATTTACCCGATTACTTGTTTTGATTTCGACGGGCAAGGGCGCGTGTTTAACGTACCTGGACGGTTATTCTTCCATATCCAAACCGTAGTTTGGATTCTACACCGATTAGTATCTCAGTAGGGTAAGGAAACCTTACTGTGTGACGCATCTTCAGTTAGGGATCGACCAATCGTGCCGAAACATTATCGACGCAGCGTCTTCAATACGTTTCACAAACTCTCTCATCCAGGTGTTCGTGCATACATCAAGCTTATAGCGGGATGGTTTTGCTGGCTCAGCATGAATAAAGACGTGAGGGAGTGGGCACGCTCCTGTGTAAGCTGCCAAAAATCTAAGGTTATCAGACACAACAAATGTCCCTTAGGCTCTTTCAAAACTCCGGATGCTCGTTTCGACCATGTTCATCTGGATTTGGTAGGACCTTTACCGGATTCAAATGGATACTCTTACCTCTTAACCTGCGTAGACCGTTACACTCGATGATCAGAAGCAGTACCTATCAAGGACATCATTGCGGAAACATTGGCCCGCACCTTCGTCGAACGATGGGTAGCAAACTTCGGCTGCCCCTCGACCATCACTACATATCGTGGACGTCAGTTCGAATCTGAACTTTTCCGTTGTCTTACCACACGTTTAGGGATCACCCGCTTCCGAACGCCTGCCTACCACCCACAAGCAAACGGGTTGGTAGAACGCTTTCACTGACAACTAAAAGCTTCGCTATCAGCTTCAAACGTTTCACAGTGAACCGACTCCTTTCCACTCGTCTTACTAGGTATTCGCAATGCAGTGAAAGCGGATATTAGATACACTTCGTCCAAACTGGTTTATGGAACGACATTTCGACTTCCAGGAGAATTCGTGGATCCTTCATCCTCTTCAATGAACATGGATCTCACCTCCTACACGAACAGGCTTACAAACGCAACGCGTTCAGTTAAACCTGTTTGCATTGGACCGCAATCAACTAATGTTTGCGTTCAACCTGACTTACGATATAGTACACACGTTTTCGCATCGACGACCTTTTGAATCAACAGACGAGGGACATTTCAAAGTCCTTCAACGCGAACCGGAGTACTATATAATCGATAAGAACGGAACCAACAATAGCATCAGCATCGATTACCTCAAAGCAGCGTGTTTAGAAGGAAATCCTATCCACTTCGATTTTCCTTCCGTACAATCGAACGACACGACTCCTATACTTATAATACCTCATCCGACAGCCAACACGCACGATGATACCTCGACAGTATCAGAAAATAAACTTAAAACAACGGGTTTCGGAAGATGAGTAAGATTCCCAAAATATTTAAAGGACTGTTGTACGTAAGACACCAGTTAACATTTTGCTTCATCTCGATTTTCCATAGCATTATATACAATATTAAAAAAATCAATTTTTATAAGCTTATATTTATATATAATTATTATTTTGCTAATATGTATATTAAAAAGTTTTTTTTAAAAACATTTTGTAAAAATCGCTTTTACGCTGTCACATGTACATGAGTTCATTTTCCTTTTTTTCGTCCACTTTGTGTCTAAAAGAGCGTACGAGTTTATTTCAACATGCACTTACATATTCTTTTTTCCTTTTCCAGGACGGCTGGAAAAC